CTGGACCTTGTACATGTTGAGGAAGCTTTCTGCCACTGAGCCACACCTTAGCCCCTCACTGGGGGATTCTAGGCAGGTGCTCTACCACTGAGCCACACCCCAACCCCTCACTGGGGATTCTAGGCAGGTGCTCTACCACTGAGCCACACCCCAGCCCCTCACTGGGGGATTCTAGGCAGGTGCTCTACCACTGAGCCACACCCCAGCCCCTCACTGGGGGGTTCTAGGCAGGTGCTCTACCACTGAGCCACATCCTTTATTCTTAGTGTTTAGTTTCAGGCTCTTACTTTCCAGGCCTGCAAAGTAAGATATATATATATAACTAAACACTAAGAATTTACTTTGGTTTTTAGACATGAGCAAAATAGCCTTATGAATCAAAATCCAAAAACTGTGCAGGCTACACTGTGGAAGATCTCTCCTCACCCCATTTGCAGATGGTTGGTTTCTATGTTTTACCTCCTACTCTTTACTCCAGGGAAAGATAAGTCATGAGATTTTTCATGAATGAACATAAGCAAATGCACGACTCTTAGCCCAACAGCTCTCTCAATTCACTTTTTAACTGTTAGTTTATCTTAGAAATTATTCTGTATCAGTTCTTGGGAGTGTCTTCGTTCTTTTTCTCGGCTGTTTAGTAATGTACAGTCATTCTCGTATTTATTTACAGTTTGCACACATGCTCGCACACCTGGAACCTAATTTAGAGAGCTCTTTGTTACTCTCACTCTTCGTTGGCTTGAGACCCAGGCTGATCTCAAACTCATGTAGCTAAGGATGTCACTGAACTTCTGATCCTTCTGCCTCTACCTCCCCAAGTGGTGAGCCACCATGCCTGGCTGGTGGTCTCTTTGTTTGTTGGTCTGTTTTACTTTTATGTCCATCTATCTGTCTGTCTGTCTGTCTATCTATCTATGACTGCATGTGTATCAGTACACCACATGAGTGCCTGATGCCCTTGGGTTCACTGGGCCTGCTGTCATAGACACTTGTGAACTGCCATGTGGATGTTGAGAATCGAACTCAAATCCTCTGTCAGAGCAGCAAGTGCTCTTAACTGGTGAGTCATCTCTCCAGTCCCTGGATCTCTTTTAACATTAAAAAGATTTTTATGATCCCCATAAAGATAGCTGTGTTGATTTAAAAAAAAAAACATGAACAGAATCACAATTACATTTTAGTGAATTTGCACTTCCATTAATCTGTTATTTACGTATATTTAAACACTCTCTCTGTATAGGAAACATATAATTTATCTATTCCATAATTGATGCCTGGTGTGCTCAAAGGCCCAAATACCTGCTGTTGCTAACTGGTTTTTCCCATTGTGTCCCTAATCCCCGTCAAAAGGAAGTGGTGTCTGAGCTGTTGCTGGGGAACCTGGAGGTGGGTGGGCCTACACAAAGTGCCTTATCTCGCCAACCTTTGCTGTAACGGTAAAAGCATGACTCAGCCATTGTATTCATTACATCTCTCCTTGATTCGATAAAGTGTCTGACAAAGCCGCTTAATGAGGAAGAGTTTATTCTGGCTTACAGTCTGAGGGTACACAGTCCATCATGGCGGAAAAGAAACAACGGCAGGAGCGTGAGGCTTGCCAGGCATGATGGCATATCCTTATAATCTTAGCATTGGGAGACTCAGGCAGGAGGACTGTGAGCTTGCCAAGGATACGTGACACCCTGTGTCAGGGGTTGGGGGTCCGCTGTAGCCCCTGCTCACCCTTCCTAACGCCGTGACCCTTCAATACAGTGCCTCATGTTTTAGCGACCCCCAACCATAAAATTATTTTCATTGCTACTTCATAAGTGTAATTTTGCTACTGCTATGAATCATAATGTAAAAATATCTGACATGCGACCCCTGTGAAAGGGCCATTCCTCCCCCAGAGGGGCTGCAAACCACAGGTTGAGAACCACTGACCTAGTGAGTTCCAGTTCTGCAAGGGCTCCATTGTGAGAGCCTATCTCAAAAAGGAAAATAAAACAAAACAAAAAAACAGCAACAATAGAAAATAAGGTTGAGAACAGATAAAAGATACCACCTGACAATGGCCTCTGGTCTACACACCGCGCCCCCACTCCCCCATGGCCTCAGAGTCAGCACAGTTGAGTTCTTACATTTAAGTAGTTGTCAGGTATCTGCTGGGCACTCAGTGGGTACTGGGCTGGGTGTCAGAGCCTGGCCTCTATGGGGGTGAAAAAGGTGTGAGGAAAACATGTAACTCAATATAATGTCGTGCTAATGGCATGGTGATCATCCAATGTGTTCACACAGCCTGAAAGAGGCCTCCATCCAAACATTACAGTTGTTTATTTTTTTAAATCTAGTTTAGATTTTCTTTTTGAGATACGGTCCAGGCTGGCCTCAAAATTCCTACATAATCAAGGATAATCTGGTCCTCTCGGTCCCCCCTCGTCCACCTGCCAAGCGCCGGGAACACAGGCATACACCACCGTGCCGTTTATGAAAGGACCCCGAGGTTTCACGCATGCAAAGCAGGCACCCCACTGGCTGTCTCCCCGGCCTGCAAAGTGGCCTTTCACTCGCCAGTTCTCAGTTCCGTGTAAGTTTCGAGACTCAAGTCTGACAAACAGTTTGGAAATGACAGCAGGCCGGCGTCTTCAGAGGTCAGGCGACCAAGGAAGTGGGGCCAGGTACTGGGGAGCCCCTCTTGTGTTTGCTGAGCGTCCTGGTTTCTTTTCCTGTCACTGTGATAAAAATACTCTGACCAAGGCGACTTAAGGGAGGAAGGGTTTCTTTGGGCTCAGAGCGTGAGGTACAGTCCACTGTTGGGAGTTGAGGCAGCTGGAGGTTGGAGCAGCTGGCCCCAATACGGTCACCCTCAGGAAGACTGTGCTCGCTCACTTTCTCTCTCTCTCTCTCTCTCTCTCTCTCTCTCTCTCTCTCTCTCTT